ACTCAAGTCTTATACACTACAAAAGATAAGAAACTCAATGATTTAGCAATAAATTCTAAATGATTTTATTTTTATTTCTCCAAATAAATATCCAAAACCAAAGATATAATTCAAATCAATCAAGACCTTAAAGGATACAACATCGTAAAGGATACAAGTCATTGGTCTTTGTTACAAGAAATCAGTGAACTTTAATGTTCAATTTGATTATATCAAGGTTGATAACATCAATCATACAATACAAGGTATAATAACTATTTAAAATATCTAATAAACAAGATAATCAATCAAGACTTTTTTCAGCAATATGGTCAACAATCAATACAATAAAAACATCAAACTATTATCAAATTATATTTTGTTAGTTTTTTTTCCAGCAAAAAAAGTCTGAAGTTAAAACTTAATATTTCCAGATTTATTTAAACTTTATTTTATAATTAAAATTTATTTTGTCTTTATTACTCTGCTTTTTTGCTCAACAAAGCCACCAATCAAACACCAGCAATCCAGCAATGGTAAAGGACTTTTACTTTATAGAATAGAATTAAAAACTTAAATCAAATAAATATAGAATAGAAGATAAAAGATAAAAATATATAAAAAAAAAACTGAGTATTAAAAAAGCATTTTTGTTTTAAATAAAAAAATTAAACATTTATTTTTTAGGTTGATATTTTTCACACAATATCAATAATAAATGTAATACCAGATTATCATTACATTCAAGATGCTACATTATATTATTAAATACATTATATAATGATTTTTTCTAATGATAATATGAGGAATAGAAAAATAAAAGTTTTTTATTTAAATAACCTTAAATTATAATAAAAGTTTTAATTTACCAAAAATACATTTTTTGGTTTTACATTTACCATTGCAAATCACTTTCTACTGAAATATGTGTATTTTAATGTTAAAAGTAAAATTAATTGCTTATGATTAATTAACATTAATTAAATTGATTTTAAAGTTTCATTATGTTTAACTTAATAAAAAAAGTTTTATTTTATAAAACTATGTAAGTTTTTAAAAAATTACAAATGTAAAACGGTTGTGTAGTTATTGAAATTTTGCTGTTGTTGTTGTAAATAAAAAAATAAATAACAATTGTTATATACATATTTTTATATATAAAAGTTATTTAAACTAATTTACCAGCTTTTTGAAAATCTCAGAATCATTCAAAATTATTTTTTGAGTGTGCTCGCAAGCCTCTAACAAGTCTTTGAAACCAGATTTCTCATTTAGATCAAATATGATGTGGCTAAAAGCAAGACAGCAAGCTTCAAAACATTTTACTCGATCGACTTCGTAATCAGTTTCACCTGCAGCTATTGACATGATTTCAACAAAAACTTTTACTTCCTTTGGATCTACAATTTAAAAATGACATAGAAATACTAATTATCAGCCCCTAAAAATATTTTTATAAAACAATAAAAAACATTGTTCAAACAAAATATATCAAAATATATTAAACAATTAAGTAAAATTGTTACAAAAGAAATATATTAAATAATTTATAATTATTTAATATATTATTTAAAAAAATATCTAATGCATATTTAATTACATAAATTAATGTATATTCAATTACAAAAATTGTCAGCCCTCAGAATTAGGGTCGGCATTCAGCAATGCCCACCTAACTGCCAAGTCAAAAGTGTTTGAGGTTTTAGTTACATAAATAAATGTATATTTAATTACCTAAATTAATATATATTCATAAAATCACATAAAAGAAAATTAGGTACTAAAGAGCAATACTTTTAATTTGAAATTCTTAGAGAAAATGAACTTGTCATTTATAATTGCAAATCACTATCTACTAAAATTTCTGTATTTTAATGTTAACAATAAAATTAATTGCATATGTTTAATTAACATTAATTAAATTGATTTTAAAAGTTTAACTTAAAAAAAAAAATTAAAGTTTTATTTTATAAAATTATGCAGGTTTTATAAACAAAAATTTTTTCTAGATTTGTTATTTAAAAAACTACAACTATAAGAAAACTACTTAAATATAAAATCTTAGTTCCTTAATTTACAAATAAGCATAAAATAAATAATTTTCATAGTAAAAGAATCAAAAAGATTGGTTATGATTTTTAGTGACACTACTTTTTACTTTTTATAAAGATTTTACAATTAAATTAAACAACAACTTGAAATACCAACAACATCAGGGGCTAGGAGGGCACTACACCCCTCCCTTTATCCCCAGTATCTTTTCTAAAAAAACTTTATTAGATATGTAGGAAATTTTTTAGAAATTGACAATTGGGCTTCGAAACCTGTGTTGCCAGCCCTGAATAATTGTTTTAAAAGAAAAGTTAAGCAATATAATAATTAAAATAATTAATATTAAAAGTAATAATTAAATGAAGCAAAATAACATTAACAATAAAAGAATGTTAAAAGTAGATATAGAAAAGTAGATAAAAGATAAAATCAGCTGAAGACATTTTAATATTATATTAATTTAATACCACTAAGCAAATAAAAGTAAATAAAAATTGGTGTTAAACATAAGTAAATAAAAAATGATATTAAATTAGTTTAGGATACATATTTAATACGGTTTGTTATATTTCATTAATATTGAAGTTAATATCATTAAGAACAAAAAAGAAAAGTGCAAATCAAAAATTTCTAAAAAAATAGGGCCTGGAAAAACATATTCTTGTATCACAATCATTATTGCTAAGAAATCTTTTTATATATGGTCTGTTTTTTATATAAAAAAACAATAATAATAAAGTTATCTGATAAAATACATAAAGATTTATTTGAAGTTCACCAGTAAGTGGATTCATGCTAACCCTTTCTTTATGTAACACACAAATAGAAATGCCACAACATTAATGGATGATTGGAATATAGCCAATCTAATTGCTGGGGATTAAGCAAGAATAAGCAAATCATAAAGGATTAGGATAGATTTGTGGCTAAATTTGAATAATTGTTTGATATATACTTGAGCTGAATTGTAACTGCCAAAATGTTATTTATCAAGAGAAAAACTGTCAAAATATAAACATTTAGCCTACATTGAGTGCACATTTAAAAAAAAAACAATTTCAGTCCCTAAGTTAAAGTTAGTTTTTATACTTTAAAATATTAGCGTCTAAGTTAAAGTCAGATTTTATACCTTGACAAAGAGTTAAAATAATGACTTAACAAAAATTTCACAGCTGTTTTAAAAGAAAACAGAAAACTACTTAAAAATAGAGAGAAAGAAGATTTAAAGAAGAAATTAAATTATTTTAATGGTTTTTAATAAGTTATTAGTTATTAAACAAAAATTAATTAAACTTTATAACAATATATACTTGATAACAATACCTTAATTCAATATATACTTGATAACAATATATACTTGATAACAATACCTTGTTATCAATATACTTCATAACAAGGTATCAATATTCCCTAGAAATATCGTAAAAATAAATATTTTAACAAAGTTAAATTTATAAAAAGAAGTTTTATTTCAAAATATTTTAAGCAAACTATCTAATGAGAAGGATTGATAACATCAAAATAACTTTAGATGTTTAACATTTTTGTTTATTTAACTTTTATCTAACTGTTTTATCTGTTTAAATTTCTTATATAACATAAGTAAACTTTTGTAAAATCATTAATTAACCTAAAGAAAATTTTAACTTAAAAAGATTTTTATAATTTTAGTCAAACCAAATATATTTTGAAATAAGTTATAACATTTCAAGGAAATTTACATAGTAAAAGTCCTAATACAAAATAAATACCCCCTATTGCTTTACAAAGCACAAAGACATTTTTAATTTTTAATTTTTATTACTAAATTTGAGTGGTGGTAATTTTTAAATAGCAACCTAGAGTAGCTGTAGGAAATATAAAATTTTACCATGTGATGATGATATAAAGTATAATCTAGCACGGCAGTTTACTTTGAGTACAAAAAAATTAAAAAAATTAAAACCTAAGGGGTAATTCTAGGTATAAAATGAGGGGAATCGAGTTCTTAAAAACTGCCAACAGTTGACTATAATACAAAAAAAAAGTGACTAAAAATTAAAAATTGTCTTCTTTGAGGAAGGGGGGGCGGACAAAGTGGACGAGAGAAAGGGGGCAAAACTAAACACTAAAGATGTGTAAAAAATGAAGATATAGCTTCAGTCATATATAATAATACAGTCATATATAGTATATATGTCAAATAAATTAAAACTATCACAAGCAGTAAAAATATTTCAGACACTTTTTCAATATATTTCAGTCTATTAATATCTTTTAAATTAATTGAGTTTAAAATACTTCATATATTATACATTTAGTATTTTTAAATATTAGCATTTAGTATTTTCAAAATGCATCCTGGTTGTTTGTAAAACTTATTATTAAAAACTCAGATTATTTTAACCTTTCAACCTTGAAAAAATTTATTTTAGGAGGTCAATATTCCTATTTTTAACACTTAAGCTGGTGGTTCATCTAAATTTACTGTTTGTGGTAAAAAAATTTCTCTTAACTACTCTTTGTGCTTATAGAAGACAAAATCAAGTACACTTTGTGTAGAAACCAATAAATTCTATTGATTTAACTAAATTTTATTGTTTTTTCAAAAACCATGTGTTTTTAAAAACATTCAGTATGCTTTTATTTATTTTTTTTTAAAATGAAAAAATGGTTTTCAACTTTCTTCAAAATTAATTTAAAAAAATTAAACTTATTTTATGGTAATTTTTTGGTAAAAATTAAAGACAACTAAGCTAGAGTACACACACACACACACACACACACACACACACACACACACACACACACACACACACACACACACACATAATAGAATATTTTATAAGCAGAATACTCAATTACAAAACTTATATATATATATATGTAAAAGAATACTAAATATATAAGTAGAATACTGAATTACAAAACTCATATACATAAAATAGAATACTAAATATATTTAAGTAGAATACTTAATTACTTATTAGCTTATTATATGCATTTTTTTTTAAGAAGATTACTCAACTCATCACCAATGCGGTTTAGCCCCAAAAACATATGGGCACATCTTGCCAGATACCATACTAGGAGCAATGTGTTCTCAAAACAACACAATATGCTGTCATAAACTTGCTTAAGAGCTCATACTCAATGGCTGGCCAATATTCAATACACAACTCATCTAACTTTTTTAAGTATTTTGCTTAAAAGTAGACAGTTTTTTTGAGTGTAAAATATAATATATTTTTTTTTTTAATATAATTCTTTTTAATGAATTTTAAACAGAAAAAAGAAAAGAAAAAATTTATTATAGTTTTCTAAAATGTTATTCCAATTCATAAACAAAAACAATAATACACAAAATTTTTTACAATCAAATAATGAAAATTTTTTTAACCAGCTATTTTATTGAGTATGGTTAAGTTACTTTTAAAAAAATTTTAATAATGCTTAATTGGTCATGTTGCTCACTCTTTTTAAACTAACTACACTGCATATGGTAAAAAAATGTTCACCATAAGCAGAGGTGTTGATTTATTATTAAAGAAAAGACACAAATTATAAAGATATGGCAATTCTCATTCTTATATCAAATCAAAATGCATCATAATAGGCCAGGTGAATAGAAAAAAAGTAATTGTTTTTACTCAGCGTTTTTTTGAGTATTGTTCAGCTTAACATGAATAAAATTTTTAGCAATTTTGCTAAAAATTTTATTCACATAAAGCTGAACAATTACTCAGAGTTTCGTTTGCTCAGCTTTATGTGAATAAAAACTTGAGCCATTTTGCTCAAATTTTTATTTAGCAATTGTTTCTTTTTTTTTTAACCCAGTCTAATGAGTTTCTTTGGTGAAAATACGGTTTCATAAATTATTTACAAAGTTATCTTTTTCTTTGTCAGCTAAATGCTGAGTTCTGCTTTGTTGTATTTTATCTGATCCATTTCGAGGCTTTGTTTAAAGTAATCAAAGGCTTTATTGTCACACTTTTTTGAGTGGATCTATTTTAAGCACTTGCTTTTAAACCATTTTTTTTTTTTGCTTTTTTTTTTCAATAAATTTAATTGCCGAGATTACTAATTTTTAGTCATATTGCATGATTAGCAAATGAAAACTTGCATTATTGATATATATCAATGATGCAAGTATTCAATATCTGCAATGATATAGTACTTAATCTCTGCTTGAGTAACTGCAACTTTGACTGTTTAGAAAAAAAAAATTTATATGCCTAGTAAAAACAAATAAACATTCAAAAACTTATTGCAACATTAAAAAGCCAACAAATTAAATTTTCATTTCTTAATCATTTTTTTATTTTTTTATGTTGAAATATTAAGACAATTTTAATTGTTTAATGAGTCTGTTTAGAGAAAAAGAAAAACAATGACAAAAAAGTTTTTAATTTTTGCATGACCTCACAGTATCATAGATAGAAACATTAAACTTGTGTTGTGCGCATGCAAATAGAGTACTCAATAATTATCAACAGATCTGTTGATGACTATTAAGTACTCTATTTGCATGCATCTATAAAGTATAATAGTCATCAACAGATCTGAAGGCGAAACAGCTGAATTTAAAAAAGTCGCACTAAAAGTAAGCAAATTTGGTGAATTTTGCAAGAGGTTAGATACAACAGAAAAAAAGTTGCTTATAAGAAAAAGACCACAAATATTTCTAATATTTGTGTGAGTTGTCTGAAACATTTTTTTTTTTTTTTAAATTAGTTAATTAATTAAGTCTTTTAAATACTTTATTAATATTTTCAATAATCAGAAAACATAATCTGGTTACTGTTACTGTAAGACACCTTAAGCAAATAGCTATGAAGTTGCTTCAGTCCTGCTATTTAAACCAAAATTATAACATAGTGTTTCTTATATGGCCATAAAAATGCACATCAAAAGCAATAAAATGAGCCTGTTATTACATATATACATACATACTTTAATACACATATACATAAATACATACATACATATTAAACTTAAATTCCTTACCTTTTAGATTCTCTTTTAACCAAGAAAAAAGGTGTAGACTTGATAATATAGCACTAGATATTTTGGAAATAGAGGTCGAAAATTTTTCAAAAAAATCAGTTAAATCTTTTAAATCATTGTTAATAGATAACAAGTTTTCAATTTCATTTATGGGTTTCTATAAATAAATGCATAAATATTTAGGTTTATACACCTATTGCATTAAAAATAGATTTGATAAAAATAGATTTGATAAAAATAGTAATAACTTGTTAAAATAAAAATATTCAATAAATCTTTTAATAATTAATCAAAATTTGCAAAATATTTAACCAAAACAATAATACCTTCATGTTTTCAACAGCAGTAAAATCTCCATGTAATTTAAGATTTTCTTTTACTTCTAATATTGTTCTTGCATCATTAGAATATTTTTCCATTAAAAATACACAATTAATTTTTTTAGCACAAGTTTCTATGTCAAATCTACTTAAGTTCAAATTTAAGAAGCTATTCAATAAAAAAAGTTCTTTTTTACGATGTTGAATGCATTCTTTAAATATTGAAACAATCTTAGATGGAGATATTTTACCTGAAACTAAGTCCTTAAACATGTTTTTTAAAATTTCAGCTGTTGGTAAAATAATACTTTCAATCAAGTCAGTATAATTAACTGCTTCCATGTTTTTTGCTAATGAATCAACTTCTTTTTTAAACAAAAAACTGTTCATAATTTTACAATCTGCCATCCTAGCAGCATGCTCATACCAGTCAAATGAAATTTGGAAGTATGTACATACGTTATCAATAAAGAACTCTTTATTTGAAAAATCATGGAAAACTGGTACTTCACTATTTAAACCTTGAGTAGTCTTCACAAAAACCTCTTTAAAAGTTAAAACTGAATATTCTGAGCGATATCTATCTTCTAATATGTCTGTTTTAACTACAAAATAAAATAAAAAAAATACATTACTCTTTCCAACTTGTTTAAATTTTAAAAATTTTAAGTAAAAATGTCTACAAGAGAGCAGCCCTGAAATGTTTCTTACTTGTCAAGTAAATAGCTCAACTAATGCTTAACTTAAAACATCTGAAAAAAATTAATCACAAGTGTTCAAAATGTTATTCAATTTCTGGTTCAGGACTTCCCTATACTTGTAATGCATTCATATTTCAAAATAACTATATATGTGCGTAAAGCACATGTATAGTTAAAGTAAAGTATCAGATCAGCTGCTATTATTGGTCAAAAAGATACCTCACAGAAAACAATTCATATTAACTCAAGGCTGCAGACCACTGGCCTTTAATATCAGGTATTGCATTTCATTTTTTATTATTTATTTATAGTACTTAAATTTATTTTCTGAATCAAACTTGTTATTACATATAAAATGTTCAAATTATTTTTAGGTCTTTCCAGTATCAGGAGAATGTTTGAGGCGTCACTAAATCAAGTTATAAAATACAAAATCACAGAGAGAATTAATACCCTCCTTTTAATGGAGGATTAAACCTACTTCTAATAAACAAAATTTTAAACAAGATCTTTAAGAGACTTTTACCAGAATTGTTTATGTGATGTCACTATTCTGTTTATGTGATGTCACCATTCTATTTATGTGATTTCACCATTCTATTTATGTGATGTAACAATGATGAGATTACACTGTGATGTCTATTTTAACCATGAAAAAACGACTGAATATTATTAACTTTGTCTGAATATATAATCTTTTAAAAATACATACACATAAATAATGATTACACAAAATATACACTTACTTAAAAACTTACTCATTTATTAAAATTAAAACTTAAAAATTTAGTAAATATTAAAAAAAAAAATAAAAAATAAAAAAATTAGTATATATTTTAAAAAAAAATATCTGAAACATTTTTTAAATCAACAACAGTAATTTGAAATTTAATTACCTGTGCTTGGAAGTATTGCTTTACAAAGTTGAAGAGCGTAGCTCACAACTTCTCTAACTTTATAGAAGCAATTAACTTGCTTAAAACGTACATCGAATCTTGCTTTAAAATTATCATAAAAATCTACTTTCATTATATGAAGAAGTTCATGTAAAACTTCTTTTTCGTTCATTAAGTTAATCATAAAACTTATCGTAATATTGCCATTGCTTATAACTTCAAAAACATGTTGTAATAATGATGCAACTTCCCCAACAAGAATCGTTGTTTCTTCTAATTTAGGTTCTTTTCCTGATAAAAAGTTGAAATTAAAATTTTTGTTTAAATGAAAATTAAAAATTCAATTATAAATTAGATTTAAATAAATTAAATACTGTCAGCATAAAAAAAATGTCTAATATTTATATGTATAATATTTCATCTAAATATAACTATATAAACTATACAAATATATATAACAATAACTAACTACATAAATTATGCAAATATAACTATATATATAGGTATAAAACTATAAAAAATAACAAACTATATAAGTATGATCTAAATAATTGTAACAAAAATTAAAAAAAACAAAACATGTCAATTTGGAAAGGAAAAAAAAGGAAAATTTTAGTTAAAGTAAAGCTTGACAAAAAAATAAATATAATTGGAAACAATTACATATTAGAAAAAACGAATAAAAAAAAATAATAAAAATAAAATTTGTGATTAATAAAAGTTGTAGTATACTTCAATATAAAAATATAAAAAGTTTAATATACCCATATAAAAAGTCAAGCAAATTATTTAGATAAGTATGTGATATTTACCAAGTTGGTCTAATAATACTTTAAAAGGTTTCCATGCTAGACAAAAGTTCACTTTTTCTTCTGGAGAGTTTAAACATTCCCATTTCTTCCTAATGAACTTAATCAACATAGGACTATAGCCTGAAGATAATTTGTATATCCAATTTGAATCATAACTATTCTAAAAAAAATATATTCAAATTTTATAACTAGTTATAAATGCTGATCCTCATCGAAACGCCAGTAATAATAGACGCGACTCTGAGGAGATGTTTATTACTTATCACTACACTAATTATGTTTACACATTAGCATTAATGTTTTTTTTTCCATTATTAGTCCTTTCATTGTCGTTAGCATATTTTTAATTTGTTGAATAGTTTTTTGTTTTACAAATTTTTGACTGGTTATGTACTTCTTGTATATTTTAGTTCATATTGGTAATTATAAAACAATTTTTTTTTATTTATTTATATATATATATATATATATATATATATATATATATATATATATATATATATATATATATATATATATATATATATATATATAATTTATTATTATTTGTTTTTATTTTTATTTTTATTTTTTTTTTTTTTTTTAATTTTTTTTTTTTTTTTTTTTTTTATTGTTATTATGGTTGAGTACTGTTTTGGTTGTATAGCTTGTCTTATTTATTTTTAAATATTCCTCTATTAATCTTTATTTTTGTCTTGACAACTGTCAAAAATGCTTTGTCTAATAAATAATTCTCCTTTATTCTAATGTACTTCATTTCTTCCCTCAGGCGTTCACTGCTCGTGTGTGACCATTCGGCGAATTTTATATGCCAAAGTTTTTAAATTATGTTTTTTAAAAAAAAAATTATATAATCATGTCTTTTTTACCTTTCTTCACTCTTTTTTTTAGATTGTGGAAAAGCATGACAAAACTTTGGAATTTTTTAAAATTAAATTATTCACTGTTTATTAAAATGTAAAAACACATACAAAAGACACTATAAAAGTAAAACATCCCAAGCAAAATCTAAAGTAAGTGAGGGCATGGCTCACTTATACATCAAAAAAAGGTATAACAAAAATTTATTATTAAAAAAAATATATAATTTATTATATAATATATTTTATATAATATATAAATTATATATATATTTTTTTTATATTTATCATTTTCACTATTATAATGCTTTTATTAATTTATGTTTACTGAGTAAAAAAAACATAATTTTTAACCTGGGACATTTCTTCAATAGTAGCAGAAAAAGATTCGGTAAATGGTGTCTGAATCAACTCATTGTAAGATAACATATCCAATTCACAATAAGCTTGTAACAAAAGACTTTTTTTAGCACTTTTCTAGAAAAAAAATATAAACTATATATATAAAATTGAAAATAATAACCACACCAAAAAAATTTAGTGGCCACTATATACTAAAAAGATATAGTGACCATTATTTGAATAATAAAACAAAACATTACTAAATAATAAAATAAAAAAACCATCAAGTTACATTTATGGAAGCTTATGCAGTATGTTATAAATAATTTCGAATAAAGGAAACAAAAAAAGATTACAGATTTTAAAATAGATTTTGTTCTAAGTGAAAATTGACTCTTAAAGAAAAAGTAGAAAGGGTACCTGTTCTAATCAATTCACTGTTCTAATCAATTTAAAAAAGATTTAAAATAAAATGCTTGCACATTTTTTTTTTAAATGTTTTTCAATTTTTGAAAAAACAAAATAAAACATTTTTGAAGTTCTATAGATATTATATACATAATGTATATAAAGATATTATATACTATAACAAACCTAAGGAAGAAAATTTTTAAAAAAAGCTAAAAATTTCTAAAAACATCAAAATACCAGGAGAAATTTGTTGCACATATGTCATGATAAAGGTCTTATGTAATTAATGTGTTCAGGAAATTAGTCCTAATAAGCTGCAAATTGTCTGAAAAAAAAACTATTGTCTGAAACTTAATAAAGAAAAAATTTAACAGGCATAACATTGTGCCCGCCCTACTACTCTAGAAGGTGCTGCTGTGTAGGCACAAATCTATATCAAAGTTATCAAAGTTATGTATATAATTGAAAAATAAATAAATTTATAAATCGCTTATACTGATTGCAATTAATCAACACTTGTCATTTCTTTAAATAAAAATGAAAAGTGTTGATTAATACTTTATTTTCATGAAAAGTATATTGCAAAAAATTATAAGGTTCTCTAAATAAATATATAAATATATATATATATATATATATATATATATATATATATATATATACACACACATATATATATATATATACATATATATACAAACAGTATTGCGTACTAAGGTAAGCAATCTAACGTCATACTGAAATAATCTGCTGCTGTGGGCTTCAGTACATACATCGACTGACAAATAGCCTGACTTGCAGTAGAGTGCTGCTACATCGACTGAGGGTTTTGGATGGGGCAGCAATTGTTTCAATCATCATTCTTCGTTTTTTCTTCTTTTTCTAAAAAAGCTGTATGAATTAAGGTAAGCAAAAAAAGTGAGCAAATGCTTATAAAAATACGCTTTAATAAGTGTATATATATAATATATATATACATGTACACATATTTATATATATATATATATATATATATATATATATATATATATATATATATATATATATATATATATATATATATACACATATATTGCATATAAATATATAGTGATAATTTTGGTTGTTTTAAGATTACTATCATTAAAACTATATATATATATTTTTTTATTCACCTTTTCAAAGCCGAGAAGGCCACTACAGACGAGGAGGCTACTTAATAGTGGTTATAACCCTCTCTCAACTCTATAACTCCGAAACACCTTGACAAACAAAGCCGCTGCGCGGAGAAACAAGTTGAGCGCAATACTGCAAGGGACGTGGTGGGGATCAAACTTGGAACCTCTTGCTTATGAAGCGAGTATTTTACCACTACACCACTACAAACATTTCTATGTTATCATGCCTATAAATCAAAATTTAAATTTAATTTCACATACAACTTTATTTTTCAGAATTCCACGTGCAAGTTCTTTAAAATCATCTCCTTTTGTAATTTTTAAATCCACAAGCATTTCTATGACCTTAAAAAATATAGAAGGATAAATTATTAAATACAATGTTGCAAGTAGCATTTTAAGTAAAAACACACTAAAACAAAACATAGATAAATAAATAATACAATAGTTAGATAAAAAATGCTAAAACAAAGTTTTATGCTAAATTTTAATGCTAAAACAAAGTAATTTTTAAATCCACAAGCATTTCTATGACCTTAAAAAATATAGAAGGATAAATTATTAAATACAATGTTGCAAGTAGCATTTTAAGTAAAAACACACTAAAACAAAACATAGATAAATAAATAATACAATAGTTAGATAAAAAATGCTAAAACAAAGTTTATAACTAAAAATATACCTTCAACTGTGATTGCAAATTGTCTAGTGTAACCCAGCTGCAATTTTTTTCGCTAAACTTATTATCAAAACTTTTAATAATACTTGAAATATGCTTAAGAACGCTCTCATTAATTTTTGGCATATTTTCATCCGATGTTTCAATACTTTTGTAAAACATATTTATACAATTGAGCATTATAGACAACAAACAGCAGCTCACATCATTTATATCTATTCTTTCTAATGACACTTCTAACATGTTAATAAGCGCCTCAACTAAATGACCTCTAATAAATAAATAATAAAAAATATTTTTATTTATTAGATAAAAATTTTGTAAAATAAATTAAATTTGATTTCTATTATAAAGTTAATTTTTTTTTTTTTTTGTTGGTGTTATTAAGGTGCTCACAGAAGTTCTTATGGTCTTATTACAGAGCACCGCGGAAGAGCATTTTACTAGAAAGTTCGCACCTCTTTTCTTACCAATGTTGCTTATTGGGCTAGAGCTGGAGTCAAACCTTAGACATCTGGGTTCTGATCCAGACATTCTAACCTAATTAGAAACCTAATTATTTTTAATTAGAAAGTTAAAAATAAATAATAAAATATTGAAAAAAAGTCAAACCTATTGCAATTTGTTTCATGCAATTTTTGTAATTCCTCTAAGAAACTTTTGCAAGAATAAATCTAAAAATTCAATTATTAAGTATTAATATTATATTGTTATATATTATATATTTTGTTACATACTATATATTATGTTATATATTATAGCAATTATTAAAATATTATTCTTATAATAAATTAACTTATTGTTAAAATAAATTGTGATTGTTAAAATTAATGTTAATAGTATAATTATTTAGTTAATAAACTTAATAACAAACATTTATCATCATTTTTTTAATATTAAAGATACTAAAATAAGAAAATCTAAAGAATTTGAAATAGTTATAATAGAAATAAGTAAGACATACATCCTACATACTACATACTATCCTACATACCAAGTTATTGTGTGTTTTCAAATTCAATTAAATGTAAATTTAAACATTTAATTAATGTACAACTAATATTAGTACCATATTAACTCCATATTTATTCAACAAGTCAGTCAAAAAAGCCACTTACAACCCATAATATGTGCTTTCAAATTTAATTATATATAGATTTAAACATTTAATTAATGTATAATATTATTACCATTGAATTTGTACATAATTTTGACTTCATATTATAAGTCATCATGTTAACCAAGAGACATTCATTAAAAACTCCAGTCTTTAATATTACAAAATCCTTTAATTCCATATAAAAAACAATACCTCTCTGAAGTAAAAAATCATTCTGTAAACTCCATTTAATTTTATCAACATTTTTTAAAGTTTCCCTGAAAAAAAAAAATAAAGATAATTGTAAATCTTCTATGAATTAATCTATCAAACTTAAGCTTTATGCTTATTTAAACTTAAGGTATGATATGGCTAAAGGGGACTCTTTAAGCCATGCTACATCTTTCAGTTTAATTGAATGTTAGTATTGGTGGAAAAATGATGGAAAATTCTATCGAAACTTTATTTAATATTAACAGTAAAGAAAAAAATATAAATAGATTAATTAAGGACACCAGATATATTTATTGCTCCAGCAAATTTCAATATGCAGTCAGACAAGCCAACTAATAATGCAATTTTTATATAAAAATATGCTATAAAAATACTTGAATTGGAAATTTAATAATCGCTTATAATTATTGACCAATTCAATACAGTCATTTCACAGTCATTTCAAGTCCTTTGTCAACTGTATATAAAGTATATTAATCTGTTTTTTTTAATTTTTAAGAACTTGAGGACGATGCTCAAACTTTCGATAAAATTAACAAAAAAATTAGAAAAAAAAAAACGCTAAAAAATCAATTCGATCTCAAGCTAAAGAAATTATTATTTTTATGTAAAAAATAAAAAAGATAAAAGATTATAGCTTGTTAACATAATATATCTTTTTAAAACATCTTATATCAATCTCATACTGAAATTAAATTCAAAATGCTGGTATTTATCTCGAAAACCTTTCCTTCTAACACGGTTAACTCTAAGTTGCATGTTCAAGAACAAGATTGTTTAAAAGTTTATTTTTTAAAATTAATGAACATTTATACAAGGTATGTCAATTATTAAATGCTACACAAACAATGTTGTATTTTCAAATGTACTTGTCTATAAAAAATTATTGTTTTACTATTGAATACCACATTTTTTAAAAATAGTTAATCAAAACAAATTTTGTTACTGGAAACCAGTTGATATTACTAAAAATACAGTTGCTATAGACTTTCTGATAGATTTTAAATAACTTTTCAATATATCAATATAATAAATTTAATAATAATTATATTGATATTAATATAACTATTATTAATTTTATTAATAAAAATACACTAATAAAAATTACAAAAAATCTGTTTGCTTTTATAATATAAAAAACATCGTTGTTTGATTGCTTGTTTTTTAAAGTTGATAAACATGCAGTTCAAGGTATGTCATTGAACAAATATTGCACAAATAAGGTTGTATTTGTAAATGTTTCTTATTTATATATTTTTCCTAATTTATATATTAAAGCATTTTTATGTGTTATATGATTTGGTAATGTTTGTTATTTATTATGTGTTTATATGTAGTAATGTTATATGAGTTTACATTTTGTTTTACAAGTGTTTTTGTGTCATAAATGCGTAAATACCTGTTATATATGAAGTATTTCTATGAGTGTTATGTGCTATAATGTTATGTGTTTACAGTTTGTAAGTGGCTATTATGTTTCCATTTTATTTCTTTTTTTATATATAGCTCCAGCTGCTTTTTTTTCTTTTTAAGTATAAGTGAGTACAATAACAAAGTTGTTGTACTCACTCTTACTTGACTTATTACATTAATTGATTGCTTTTATTGTACAATTTTATTTTTTAATAAAGCTACAAATGCTTCTTCCAGTTTAATCAACCAATGTCAAGCATAAATGAGCACAATAAGTTAGATATTAGTACTCACTTATAACTGCCTTATTGATTGCTTTTAGTTTAATTTTAATTTTTTTATGCTGCACTTCTTCTGTCACAACAAGAAAGTTGCTGTACTCACTAATACTTGACTTATTGCATTGATTTAATGTTTTTTTTTGTTTGTTTTTTTTAATAGTAGATTTTTTTGTTAGTAATACCTTCCCAGTAGAAATTTATGCGTGTATGTATGTGTGTGTGTGTGTGTGTGTGTGTGTGTGTGTGTGTGTGTGTGTGTGTGTGTGTGTGTGTGTGTGTGTGTGTGTGTGTGTGTGTGTATATATATATATATATATATATATATATATATATATATATATATATATATATATATATATATATACATTCAGACTTAACTTGGGATCAATTATTATATTGCTCCTAGCATCCGGGTCCTTTATCACAGAGGGCTTTCTTTTGATAGTGTCAATATGGGGAAGATAGTCCATCTTTTAGATGGAGGTTTGGCCCTCCATATGGCACTAGAGTAAGAGAAGATACTGGGAGGAGAACAAGAAGACAAGGATCAAAAGTCGTAAATGTATTTAAATTTTAAATTACATTTCTGACTTTGAAGTTGCTTTTTTTTTTATAAATATATTCTTCTTCATAAATATTTGTGTTGTTTTTCTATTTTTCCTATCAATAATAATGCTATCAAGTTAAATTATTTAAATATGTCAGAGTCAAATATTTGATAAAGTTGCTATCTCAATATAATTTGGTTTTCACACAACCAACTCTATGTAACATGTTTCAGATCCAAGTCATTTGATAGTTTGTTATTTAAACTTAATAAACATGCATTGCACGGTATGTCATTAAACGAATATTACACAAATGTTGTATTTGTAAATATCCTTAATTTATAAGTATTTTTTTATAAGTATTTTTATGTGTCATGTGTTTGCACTTTGTAAGTGTTTCTATATGCGAACTGTTAGTAGTTAAAATATGTACAATAAACTCTGGATAATTCAACAACTCTTAATAACTTGAGCTAACTTTAAAATTCCAGTTGAGCCATTATTTCCTGATGATACTCTCAATAACTCTAACATTCTCTAATAAGCTAATTTCTTGGTCCATTCGAGGTTTGAGTTATTGAGAGTTTACTGTAATATGTTATGCTATTTGGTAATTTTATGAGGTTATTATTGTGTTGTTTTGTGATATAATAATATTATTTGGCTTATTACTAGAGATTCTTAGTGTCTCTAGTAATGAGCCAAACATCATTATAAATTAGGGGTGTCCCAGATAACATTTTTAAATTATCCGACCAGATAATGAATACCCGATATTTCAAAATTATTCAGCCAGATAATGTAACTCAAATCCTTAAATATATATTATATAATGATAAAATATTATCGTGATAAACTTTAAAAATGGCAAATTTTATTTAGAACCTTTTCAAAATTAATGATAGCTATGATTTCAAAGCAATACTCATTCCATGTGGAAAGCAGACAAAAAGGGGGTGTAATAAATCTGGTCAGAAGTCATTTTGCACAACTCCACTGTCATGCAAAACAAAAACAATCACACAATAAAAAATTTCATTGTAAATTGTATGAAGAGGAAAATTATATTATTATTAAATCTTCTTAAGCTGCACAAGGAAGTTCAAAATGTATTAAATTCTGATTAAGTCTCCTTTTTAAAAGCTGCTCAAGGAGTTGATGTTTTCTTTATTCACTTAATTATAGAAAAAAAAAATGGCGCTTTTAAATTATTGGAAACATGAAGAGAAGTTTCCACTGCTAAAAGAGTTTGTACTTAATTCACTAGCACCACCTGCATCCTCTGTATTTTTGGAAGATTATTTTCATTATTTAGGAGAAAAAGCGACCAATGCTAAAAATGGTAATTTCTTCACGGTGAGGTAAAGGAAATATAAATGAATGATAAACTGATGTATTTATTGTGCTTATATAATTTTAATAGTATTTTAATAATAATAATAGCAATATTGAACAGTTAAACCATTAACATTAGATTATTTAAAAATTTAACATTTCTAGATTTCTTTCAATTTTCAAAAGACATTAACATGAATTATCCAGTATATAAAAAATCGGATAAACTTATTATCCAACCAGATATTGGATATCAAATAATACCCCGGATAAACTATCCTGCTCAGATATCCGGCCGAATAGCCTATCCGGGACACCCCTATTATAAATGAGTAAATGTGTATAAATATCTCAAATATGAAAATGAGTTTTTTTAATTTTATAGATAATAAAAAATAAAACATATCCCATAATTATGTCACAGAAGCTTTTATGCCATTCACTGAAATTAATGCTAACTAAACTTGTTTAATCCATTAAAAATCTAAAGAAATACTGTTATAAATGTTTTATATATTTTAAAATGCTCACTATTGCCAAGAAAATATTTGTGAGATGATTTGGCCAAAATTTTAACCAAACCTCTATGAGCTACTTAGGTAGTGTATTGTAAAGCTCAAAGCATTCACCTCAAGGAAAGTGGGGTAAATTGACCATTTTAAAAATTGGGGTAATATGGCCACTTATTAATTTGTTTGATCAATTTGCTAAACCTTTTTTTTAAATCAGTTACAATATGCCGTGCACATACTAACTAACGGAAGGTTGCGCACACAGTAGCTCCAAGAAAATAAATTATAGAAAGGCCACAAAAGGCCTTTGAACATCTAGATACCATAAAGATTAAAATGCCTTTGCAATATGTCAGGAGTTTTTCTATTATATTGAATTTGTATTTTTATTTTGAACTTTATTTTAAAAATATAGTTTTAGAATTTAAAAAATACTTTCTTTAATTTCATAAACAATGTTTTGCTGCTTAAATTGTATTTTTTTGTCAAGTGGCCAAATTACCCCATTTTTGGATTTTGTAAAAATGATTTTCATTAATAAGTAGTGGGTAATTTTTTATGTCTTTAGTTGTACCAATTTATTTTAAAAAATATATATTAGTTTGGTTCTAAATTTATCTTATTTATCTTAGAATGGTATTCTTATATTTTTTAAATATTTTTTTACCAAATCCTCCTAAAATCTCCTGAATATTTTAATTGGTTGTTTTTTTATGTTTTCCATTAATATCTCCTTAAAAAACCCTTTTAAAACCTTCTAAATTCTCCTAATTTTATAAACATTTTAATTGCATTTTTTTGTCAATTACCCCGTTTTTCGATTTGAATATCAAAATGTTTTTTCAAAAGATTTGTTTATAGAAATACATCTAAAAAAATACCCTGATTGCTTTTAAAAACTACTAAGATTGTTTTGAATATAAAAAATAAAATATAACAAAAACATTTGCCAAAAGTATAATCTTTTTGTACTAAAAAGTAGAAAAGAAACTTTTTAATTTAAATTTAATAGTTCCGTAAACTAAAGATTGACAGGTCTGCGCAAGGTTTATTAAGAAACATACCTGTCAATCTATAGTTTACGGAACTATTAAATTCAAATTAAAAAGTTTATTTTCTACTTTTTAGTACAAAAAGATTATATTTTTAGCAAATGTTTTTGCTATATTTTATTTTCTACTTTTTAGTCTTTACAGAGAATTACAATATTTAGCAATGCATGTATCTAGACATGCATAATTAAGTCTAGCTTTTTATCCTAAAAAAACGGAGTATTTGCTGATTAAAGGAGTGGAATATTTTTCTTTTATAACATAAAAATTTTTTATATAAAAGTAAAATAGCATAACGTACAAATATTTCATTTGCATTGCAACCCGCGACCTCCCACAGATGTAGTATATTTTTATATTAATATTAAACAAAGATTACATAACTTTGTAAGTTACTTTTTAAATTTTATTAAAAAAAAAAATTTTTTAAAAAAAGTATTAAAAAAAAGATTTAAAAAGAAATACAAACCCACAAGCAATTTTAACCAATTTTAAAAATTAAAAAATTTATTTTTGAAAGAGAACAAAGTAAATTGAAAAAAAATTACAAACCTTCAAGTAATATTAGACTATTTTTAAAATAAAAAGATTTGTTATTTATTAATTTTACCAAAATAAACCGGCAAGCAATTTAATAGCAAATTTCTCTATAAAATGTTTATTTTTTAGAGCACCATGGACGACAAAAAAAGTTAAGGACAAAAATTACATAAGTGAAAGAAAAGATTATAAAATATTAAATTTTTTAGCAAATTTTATTGCTATATTTTATTTTCTTCTTTTTAGTCTTTACAGAGAGTCACAATGTTTAGCATTTATGTCAAGATATTTAGCATTTATGTCAAGACATTTGAAATTAAATCGAGCTTTTTATCCTTATTAAAGAAACGGAGTATTTCCTGATTAAAGGGGACAACTGAATAAGCATGAATTTCATAAGTGCAAACAGCATAAGTACGAACTGGTATATGTGCTAATTAGCATAAGTGCAAAGCAATTACAAAATCTGCCACAAGAGCGAACTGGAATAAGTGCGAGTTGACACAAGTGAGTAAAAATAATTTGCAAACATTGACATAAGTGCAAAATGTGATAAGTGCGAACTTCCATAAGTGTACCAAATAAAATTGCAAATATCGGCATAAGGCAATTTTTTATACTTTGCACTTATGCCACTACGCACTTGTGCCAGTTTTTGCAAGCCCTCGCACTTATGCTAGTTTGCACTTATTCCAGTTTGCGCTTATTAAGCCTCCTGGATTAAAGGAGCGGAATATATATTTTTAAAAGATAAAAATTTTTTATATAAAAGTAAAATAACATACAAATATGGTACAAATATTTCATGTGCATTGCGACCCTCGTCCTCACTCATATGTAATATATTTTTATATTAGTATTAGACAAAATTATGTTGTAAGTTATATTTTTCAAGTTTATTTAAAAAAAAAATTTCTTAAAGTAAGTATTAAAAAAAGAATAAAATGATTAAAACAAGATACAAACCCACAAGCGCAATATTAGCCGTTTTAAGCAAAGAAATATTTTTCAATAAATAAAGAATATTTTTAATAATAAAACAAACCCGCAAGCAGTTTAGAAGCAAATTTCTATATAAATGGTTACTTGTTATGCGTTTTCATGATATTTTGCAGCAATAGCTTTTTATTTACAATGTTTTTAATAAAAAAGAATATTAAATGTTGCATAAAAATATTTATTTTTTGTATTCACTCGGCCTGTTTTTTATATAAAACTTGTTGTTATTAAAAAAATTATAAAGCCTTAATAACATTTATAACTATTGTAATACCAACTTTAAAAAATATTTGCATGCAAATAGATTTAATTCAACAAGTTTAAGACCTTTTTAAATATGCAGTTATTAAAACATGAAAACCTAGAGGAGTAAATAAAGATGTTTCTCTAGCACAAACAGCTGTGGCTTATAGAACCAATATTGAAATAGAAATTTGATAACTAGGTTTAACTTTAGTTTTTCTATCACTCCTTGATTATAAAGTTTGTATAGAAAAAGCATTAACTTTAAAATGCTTAAGCCTTTAAACTTTAATGCTTCAGCATTAACTTTAAAATGCTTAATTTTAACTAGATGTATTTAGATATAAGATGATAAGAAATAAATCCAGATACAAGTACAATCAGAGTGCATAAAAAAGATATTAAAAAGTGCATTCAATCGGTAATCTGATAAATTTAGTGCTCTCAATCTTTTAACTCATACAAAATTACTTTTTTTTTTACGCTGTTTTTAGTTCTATTCGTACTTTTAAAAAGACTGAAGCTCTACCTCTTCTTTCCAGATACATGCAGGTTACTTATTTAATAAGTATTTTATAACATGCAGGTTACTTATTTAATAATGTGACCTTAAAAACTTCCCCAGAAAAATTTCTTTTAACTGATTTTCCTAAGAATAATATCATAAGAATAATTTAAGTATTATTTTTTTAGAGTAAAATCCTTTTTAATTAAAATATTTATAAACCAAACCTACTCATAAATCTTGGAATGTTTTTTTTCAAAAAATGTTGGTAAACCACAATTTGAGGCATTTATACTTTCGGGGTTGCTTTTCAATTTCTGTTGTGAATCATCAGAGGTCACATGATGTATTAATAATGCATAACACCAAACATGAGCTTTCTTATTTGAATAGTTGTATTTTTGTAACCAACTTTTTAACAAAGAAATTAATGCACCTTGAATAAATCTGAAAAAAAAAATTATAAATATGTAATAACAAAAAAATATAGTAAAACTATTTTCAAAATAAATTATAAACTATAAAAAAATATAATAAAACTATTTTATAACTAAATTTCAACTAAATTTAAATAATAACATAAAAAATAGCTTAGTTCCTGAAGTCATTTTTTAATTTGAGTCATTAAAAGCCATGGCTAAAAGAATGTTGAAAAATGAGTTAATTGCATTAGACAAGTTTTAAAAAATTTTTAAACTAAATTGGTTCTTTTTTATATGCACAAACAAAAGGCCAAACCCGGCTTTATTTAAACCTGGCCAAAGATGTTTGTGCAATATAAGCAATCAATCCCATAACTTTTTTTTTTTTGATAATCAATTATTATGTAGTGGCTAATGAGTGGCACAAAGGTCATATTTATATTAAAAAAAAAAAAAAAATTTCATGTTTTTTTTTTTTTGTAAAAAGTATTTGCCTCAATTATTCGAAGTTATGATTTTTGCAACTTTTGACCAAATTTGGACAAATTTCTAAGCATTGCACAGTGGGATAAAATTGTGTTTTTCGTGCCAATATTACTTTTAATTTTTTTTATTAGAACTGTTATAAACTAATTATACAAACCATATAAAATGAATATTAAGCTCATATATATTGCTAAAAAAGTTTATTTTTTGGTATGGTCTTACTCATGCTTGTACCAATGGTACAAGCATGAGTAGAGTTTTGCGGTTTCCAGACAAAGTAAGCGAAACTTACTAGTATCTATTTGAAATCCACTTAATATACAAATTAGGATTATATGCAACTTTACAATTAGTTCCTCGTTTATTCCTGTAATATCAGCAAACAAATCTTCATTTGAAAAAGCTTTTCAGGCAGTATTGCCATCATTTGAATTTCCAGATCCTCCACATTTTGGGTAGTCAACAATAACTCCCATTTTGTGTTAAAATTCTTTTTGTATCTTTATTTTTGTTCTTTATTTTTTGTACAAGAGATTCCTCTTCATCTTCTCTTGCTTGCCATTTTTTAATTGGTATCTTATATGAAATATGAATGAAACACTCAAAAAATCTTATCCATACATGAAGTGTAAATAATCCATATTAAAAATCATTCGGTGAGTATGGAAGTTTTGTAACTTTATCAATGTTGTTCATGTCTTTTGGTGAACACCCGCATATACAGCAACATTGACTAGAGCTTGTTACATTTGATAGAGCAGTATGGACTGTGCCATCTATCATTGTAACTTGAATGATATGTTTGACTGAAATAGACTTGCTATTAGATAACTGAACAAAAGTTTCTACAAGATTTAAGATCTCATCTTTCAAAGTAACTTCTTCAATAAGTAATAAATCAGTTGTTTCTTTTTCAAATTTAAATCTTAAAGGTCAGCAATATAAAGTGGAAGAAGGTTTTGGATTTCTCCAAATGACAGTTAGTGTTTCTCTAACATAAGTTGTAATCTGAAGTGGAACCAGGCAAGTTAGAAACAATGATTCTTCTCATTTCAAGTCACGAAAACTTTCAACAGACATTTTTTGTTTATATATGCTTTGACTAGTAGACCCATCAAAACCTGGTTTATAATGAAGAGATACTTAGTTCTTGAAAAACACTCTTGAAAGTCAGTAATTATTGGTCGACCGGTGCTGGAAGTAGATTGAGAAATTGCAGGAGGTATGGTTATTTTGCCTGCAGCAAAATCAATTAAATGAATTTCATTATCAAGCCATTTACTATTCTTCTTAATAAATAAAGATTCTCTGTGATTACAGACATTCCAGCAATATCTAAGATGTGCTAAAATGTTCATAAGTGTTGATCTCAGAACAATTTCATTGTTCTGATCAAGGGATAACTCAAAGAATGTTAGAATGAATGTATAATTTCTCAGTATCTTGAATAGAAATTTATTATCTTTTAAAGAGTTGAAAAGATCAAAATATTTCATCAAAAAACGAAATTGAAGTTATTGCATCTTGCAGACAAGTGTCTGTAAAATACTATTAGTGCATACACTATATGTAAAAGCATTAGATTTACTGAAAAGGTTCTAAAAATATTTTTTTAAGGAGGAAAAGAAAGGAAGGGGGGAGGAGGGATGGAGGGAAAAAGGAACCATATCAACAAGTATCATATATATAACTAAAAAAAATAATTATTGAAACCTTTGGTAAAAAAAATCTTGCATAACTAATTTGCAGTTAAAACACCATTAAAAATATTAGAGTTTCAAGAACTTATGAAAAACGTATTTTTGCAATAAATACTATGAATCGAGTATGAGTTATTTGTTATAACTTTATTAGTTGCAACAAATACTTGTAAAAAGTTGCAAAATATTTATGATACAATGCAGTTAAGATACATTAAGCATTAGATTTACATAATCAAATGTTTGGAGGATATTGGAGGACGGTTCATCTGATACCTAATAGTAAAGGTTAGTAGCAAAAAAAATAAGCCAAAACTGCCTGTCACTGATGCATAAAAACTGAAGAATACACTTACGTTTAATTGTTTTAAATAGTCAGAGCAAAAAAAACAAAATTCTAATAATTTTTAATTAGTTAATTCTAATAATTTAATATATTTATATTATATTATATTCAAATAAGTTAATATATTTTAAAATCATACTCAATAAAATTAATTTAAAGCAATAGTAATGTAAGAAAGTTGATAATTAAAAAATGAAAAAAAGCATTTTAATTAATTTTAATTTTTTATATAATGTTAATGTTAATTTTTGATATAATGTTTTAATTATTACAAAATTTTAATACAATATTTTAAGAACTATTTTTGTTCTTTAATAAATCTTGTATAAAATAAATATTTTCATTAACTAAAATTTTTAGCTAAAAAAATTTTTTTATTATTTTATTTACATTAAAAGTTATTAGCAATAATATTAACTAAAAGTTCAATTACCTTAAAATTTTTTCAGGAAACTTATGCCTAATACTTTTCAATATATCACTTGGAGACCAATTAATATTTTCCAATGATAAAATTTCAAAAAGTGAAGAAATAAAATCGAATGATGCAAGATTAACCATATTTTGGTTATCATAAAAGATAAGTATAAGTGACAGACCCCAAAAAAACAACTTCTCTGGGTCTTTGATTGATGGAATCTGCTTCTCTAGAGCTGTGAACAAACTCTAAATGTATAGAAAATAATTTAATTATATAACACAACATTATATATATATATATATATATATATATATATATATATATATATATATATATATATATATATATATATATATATATATATATATATTTATATATATATATATAAATATATATATATATATATATATATATATATATATATATATATATATATATATATATATATATATATATACTATATATATAATAAACTTACATATGACTCTGTGTTCTAGGAACCACAGATATCAAGTAAATGCAGTGCAGGCTGCATCAGTAATGATATGGTTTGAATATTTTTTGAGAAACTTAAACATCATCCCTGCAAACACATTACATTAGGCCAACATCAGAACAACCTCGGTCCGATGATTTTGAAGTTGTTCCAATGTCAGGCTAATGTGTGCTCGCTATCAGGGATTACCTTATTTAGAAGTGCTTGTAAAGCCAATGAACCTTGCTAAAAACAAATCTGTAGCTGTGCCAAAAAAAAATCTGTAGCTTTCATATGATTTCACCCAATGACCATCTGATATTCATATCAGTACCAATGGCTGATATTCATCATACAAATTCAGTTCTTGTTATGAATAAAAATGCATAATGCATTTGCATAACGAAGATTTTGAAGTCATGAGGGTTTTTTTTTATTTACTTTTCATATTTATCAACAATAATTTTTATGAATAATGTATGCTTTGTACATATTTTTAATGTTTATAAGAAATTTGATTTTTTACTAAAATAAAATAAAAAGGTTGAATAAAAGTCTTGTATGTTTAAATAATAGATAATTATGACAGAAAATTAAAATTTGGTTATTGAACCATATGTAATAGTCACGCTAAAACTCACAACTTGCACATGCCTTAGGACACTTTCTTTCTAATATTATAGAAATGTAATAAGTGGTAGTCATACTTTTGCTTTCTTTAAAGCTATACTAAACCTGGATTCATGAAAAAAATTTAATAACGCTATTCTACAAATATATTCTATTCCAGCAACATAGCGGAGTTTCTATAAAACGTTTTTACTCCAAAAGTTGCTTGCAACAACTTTTTGTCTGCATCCTCTTTAATTCATATTAATCATTTATGAAATTTTAGTAATATTTGAGGTAATGAAGGAAATAAAACTCAAGCAAAACTTAAAAATATAACACAAAAAAATCATGAAGTTTGACCATTTTCTCAGAAAGGCAATGGTTTGCATACCTTTAACAAATTAAAAATAAAAATACTATTTTTTTAAATAAATTTTGTAACAAACTTGTACGGAAAATTATTTGCTTCAGATATAACATATAAAGTTATTTTTAAAAAATTGTACAGTAAATTCTGTGCACTTAATGAATACTGCAAACTCTGTTAACTACTTTAACCTAGTGTTAAAAAAAAATTACTTTATATTTTTTTAATTAATATAGGCTATATATTTTTTATATATTTAACAAATTAATAATTCAGATGAATATTTTAATAAACAGTTTTTATGAACTTTGCACAAAAAAGCACATATTGGATATTACACACTCTGCTAACTATATTAAGTTGGTGTTTAAAAGAGAGTTTAAACACCAAGTTTAGTTTTTTAAATTAATCTTTTGATTGCCCTTTATCACTTTATTTCTAATACCTGAACAAATGTAACTTATAAAACTAACATAGTCTAAATAAATATTCACTTTATTTTATTTTGCTTAGATAAATTTTTATTTTTATTTTTTTAAATTTTATATATTTACACCAAATTAAAACAATAGACAAAGTTTTCTTATATTTTGATTATTGTAATATTTTAATAAAAAGTTAGTTTTATAAAAATTCAAACTTAATTTTTTTATTCTGAATTTATTTGTAAATAATGAGCTTATTTTATGGATTCATAATTTAAACTTTTGTCACAGTGGTATGCGGATTTTACAATGTTAACTAACTTATTAAAATACCATTAAATAAAATTTAACTACTTCATTAAAATACCACTTGAAAATATCTATAGAGTTACTTAAATATTATCAAACAAAAATGTTTTTAGCATAATTTAAATGACATAGCATAATGTAAAATCACTCTTTGTGTATGTAAAATGCTCTCTGCCCAACGTTTTAAAACAAGGCCAGCAACTTTATAGTTTTTTTCTACCAGAATCAATTCTCTAGGTTATATAAAAAATGAGAAGACAATAAACATCATCACCATTTGTACCAAATTTTGCTGAAGAGAATTGATTGGTGGCCCTGCCAACATGCTAAACATTAGCAGAGTTTCTTTTTGCATTTGTCATTTGCTTTTAAAGTATCTGCCTGTGGGAAAAAAGAATTAAATAGTAAATATTACCATTCATGATTTATTTTTAATATATTTAAAAAAAAAAAACAATAATCAAATTATAGTCTTAATATGTGACACAAAACATACACTCATCATTTAAAAAAAAAATTATTATTTGTTAGCTAACTATTAGTAAACTATCACTTAACTTTTTTTGCTGCTGTTTACAAATTGCACAAATTATTAAAATAAATATCTTCTGATGTGTCCCAGAAAAGCTGCTCAGAAAAATAACAAATAAAAATTGCCTATTGACTTTTTTTGCTAAAATTTCTGCTAAAATTTTTTTTTAATTTTAGCAGAAATTTTAAAGGTGATTTACAAAATGCTAAAACCTTTTTGATACCTGAAATTGCTCAGATGGGACTAATTTTTTGTATGGTTATAACATAGGGTAGATAAGCTTACAAGAACCTATTAAATGTTGAAGTCCAAAAAAAATTTTAATGTATCTTGGCAAAATCTTTTTGTTAATACACAAAAGATAATACAAGCAAAACTTTACATTTATAGTTATCAGCATCAGTACAACCACTGAGGATTTAGGGTATGACAGGCATCTATCAGTATCTATGTATGAGGAACATTTATAATGGCAAAAATAAACAGGCTATCTGCATGGACCAAAATAATTTTTTTCAATACTCTTACTACTTTTTAAATTTTTTTTACAAAAGCTTTGTGAGTTTGTTTAATTAATGGAAGTAATCATTCAAAATATGATGATAACCCATAATTATTAACTATTTTTACTCTATCTATCTCAAATCCTTTTGAAACTATACTATCTGAAATCATACTAGTAAACAATTGGCTCATATTAGAAGAAGCATTGTTCGACATAAATGCATACTAGAAAATAATTGGCTTGTATTAGAAGAAGCATTGTTATACACTACATCCATACATAACAGTTTCTAAAAAAAAAAAAAAAGATTGGAAAAAGATTGGAAAAGGTTGGAAAAAAAAAATTTATTTTATTTCCTAGAATTTAAATTTATTTATCCTAGACACTAACTACACTATAAAATGTATCATCATATTAATACTTATTGTTAATTTATATTTGTAATGTGTTTTTCTTAAAAGTAGTTTCAATAAAAAAAGTTATTTTACAAAATCAAAAGTACAAATTTTCCCTGAGGGAAAATTTGTTTTTTCTGCTAGTGACAATATTGTACTTTATTTAACTAATTACAATGGTTCAAAAATTTTAAATGTTTATTTCAATGGTTCAAAATTTTAAAATGTTATTTTAAATGTTGTGACAATAAAATTCCTTGTTTTTAGTATTTTATTTTTCTTTGATTAATGTCAGCATTTTAATGTGCAATATATAATTTTGTCAAAGTTTTTATTTATTAATTTTTAACAGTATGGATTGATAACTTTAGAACCAAATAGATCAAAAAGTTAATACTGAAAAAAATATCTATTTATTTAGAATAAAACTGAAAAATTATTTTAAAAAGTCTATCCTTAATATTTTTTGTATAATTGTCAATACAAATGTGCCTCTAATAACCAAAACCCTAGGTAATGCATACACACTTGTCACCTCAATCCTTACAAACTTGGTTTCATGTATGTTCTTTCCCATTAATGCAGTTATGTGGTTTTTAATTTGCTATATATATATATATATATATATATATATATATATATATATATATATATATATATATATATATATATATATATATATATATATATATATACACTTTACTTCTAAAATAATCTAAAATTAAACTTATAAAATAAAATTAAAAATCTTACTTGGATGGGTTGCTTATCGTTTATCTTTTTCCATTCTATTTGAATATGTTCAGTTACAGTATATGCACCATAAAAACTTGACTCCAAACTTCTAATGAACATTGAACTTTCAAAGCTACTATAATTTTGTTTCTCCCAATAAGAAACATACATTTTAAAAATATCACTATAAATTTCATTACTTTGATGGCTTTTTTTAAAAAAAAATTCTTTAAAATAAGTAAACCATGATTTATTTTCTTTCTTGTATATTTTTTGTGGCAAAAAACAGTCATCAACTTGAAAGAATTTGAAATCTAAATATAAAAAATATCTCAAGTTTAAAATCAAAACTATGCAAAAAAGCATGAGATGTTTTTTACAACTATTTTTAGTAAAAAATATCTCAAAATATACAATACCTGTATGAATAATTTAAGTAATTTAACAAAAAGGGATGGGAATTAGGGTTAATTTTATTTGAACTAAAATGTTAATAGACTAACTTTTTAGATTAACTGAAAACAACTTTTTAGTTCAACTAAATTTAGTAGACTTTTAGCTCTACTAAAATTAGTAAACTAACTTTTTTTAGTTTAACTAATGTCAACTAAAACTGTTTTGTCATCTTGTCCCTATTTTTTTAAATTTTAGATTACCCGATGACTGACAAAACCAAATTGACTGTTTTAAAACTATGTTTCTTAAAAATCCTTATTTAATGTTTGCTTAGAAAGCTTATAGCAATCTTTGCACTTGATAATATCCAATAATTAATTAATTGACAAGTTCTAACAGATATTTCTGATCGTAAGAGTTAATTTAGGTTGGTTTATTGCATTGAAATTAAACCACTAACATTAAAACATTGTCATTTACTGTTAGAATAGCATTTGAGTAACTTTTGATAAAGTTAATCTAAAAATCTTCGTCAAATGTTAAAGTACAAGATTTAAATGTTAAAGTACAAAATATCAAATAAATAAGAACCAAACAATATAAACAATTTTATGGGTTCTAACTACAAATATACATTATAATTGAATAATATATGTAGTATATTATATACAAATATAATAAAACTAAACTGTTAAAAACACTAAAATATTTATTAAGCTAGAGGCATAAACATAAAAAAACAAATAGGGATGCAGTCAAGCTTCTGCCAAATCCTGGTGCATTGTTTGCCAAATCATTGGCAACCATTTGGCAATCATTTTTTTGGTAATTAAAGTTACTAAAGTTTGGACTCCAAAAGCTGAAATATTGTACAACAGTTGAAGGATTTTGTTGTACTTTTATTTTGACTTTTTAATTTTATTGTACAGCCAACATTAAGTTGTTTCACTAGTTTCTATTGCAAAAATTGTTTTGCAACTGTTATACGACACTTTTCAACTATTGGAAATATAAAGCAGCTATATCTATTAAATTTAAAATTTAATGTTATGATAGGATTAAGAGTATATATTTAATATTCAAATTTTGAAAAAGCATTTAAAAATTTTTAAAGTTCAAAATATTTTTCAAAATATATACATTCCTTTTTTAGTTTGAATTCACCTCCCCAAGGCCATGAATGCCTCTACAGTTGAGAAGGCTATTAAAGTTGTGGTTACAACCCTCTCTAAACTCTATAACTCCAAAACACAAACCTTGACGAACAAGGTTGCTGAGTGAAGAAAAAAGTTAAGCGGTGGCGATAGTGGGGATCGAACTTGGAACTTCTCGCTTATGAGGCGAGCGCTCTACCACTACACCACTACCGCATTAAATACTATATAATATATAGTCATTTGACAAATTTATTAATTTGTCAAATGAATTTTTTTTTTTTTTAATTTGCATGCTGAATAAACTCTAACTAGTAAATATTCAAACAAATAGTAAACATAAGTACAAATTGGTCAATTTAGTATTTACTATCTTACTTCAATATAATAACTTTAAATTATATTTATATTCATAAACATTTAAATACTAATTTTAATTTTATTTTAAATTTAACAATTTAATATTTCTATTCTCAAATTTTGGAAACTTAATTTAGGTTAATACTTTCAATTAGTACTTTTATTTAACAATCAGAAGTATTATGGATACATAATCGCAAAGTAAAAAACACTTATGAAAGTACTTCAAAGTGCGAGTGATGAAGATTTGGGCAAAACGATGTGTATACCTTACAAAAAGATTTTGCCTATAGATAGTAAAACGCACAAAATGTCCACAAACTTACAAAACATTCTTAGAAAATTGCTTAACAATCTACATAGCATGACGATTGCTTCAACTAAGACTGTAAACAATGAAGCTATACCAGATCTCAAAAAGTTTTTAAACAATTTTGTCAAAATTTTTTAAACAATTTTGTACTACTTAAACAGAAAATAAAAGCTTCATTGAATAAGTGCAAAATAGAAGTGGTACTAGCCTTTGTCATTTTATAGTAATTTTTTAGGCTACGATTATGGACTTCCCCTTTTCTTAAGAATAATGACTTGGATTTGCCACTGGTAGTTTCTACTTACTAATTAGTAATTTTATTGTATTCATTTTGTTTAAATTTATTTCAGGCTTCTCTGCAACAGAAGCCTGAAATAAATTTGGCATGAAAAGAAACAAAGCAACACAACAATATTATGGTTCAAGTTCATACCAGAATTATTGGAAGCTCTAAATTATACAATACCTAGTCAAAAACATTTCTCCACTAAAGTGACTCCACTGATGTATGAAACAATAAAAACTTTGTCATTACACAATCCAATCATATTACATAGATTTGTAATACCTGAGTATGAAATCAGACATGATTAACTGATAACTCAGCCATTTTTATATCTGAAAGACAAAGATTTAGAGAATAGAGTCACATTCAGAGGATAAACATTTGCTATGTACCATATTGATCTGAAAATTGAAATGATGGTTGATCCATTTTTTAAACTAAAATTTGTTGAAGGAACCAATCATGTTTGAGAAAATTCTCTATTAAGAATACTTATGCTTTGATTCAAAGTATCATTTACAACAAGCAAAAAATATAGCAATTAAAGACAACGCTAACAGAGGAGAAAATGAACCAAACTAATAAGAATAGAGTATTTGTTTTTAAAGTTTTAACTACAAAAGCCTGACTCTGGTCCTGATTTTCTCAAGTTAAAAGTGTAACTAATAAGCATGGACATATACAGCTTCTTCCACCAAATCAGCACAAAATTTTGAAAAAAATGACAGAGGAAAAAGACAAAAAAAGGAAAAAATTACAATCCAAAGAAAAAAACTTAAACTGTCAAATGAAAATGGTAAAAATAAAGAATTTATTTAGATTAAAGGTTTTTATTTTATTTACAAAACTATAAATCTAATTGATATTTAGATTTTTTATGCTTCCTGTTTTTTCTTTGTTGCATTTCATAATTTTGATTACGCATTACCATTTATCAATTTAGTCTTTAAAGTTTATGAGTTGAATGAGATTTAATCATAGTTAATAGACTTTAACTGGTTTGGAAACTCCGTAAAAAAGACACAAAAATAGAGCGTAAATCAAGCGTGACCGTGCACACAAATTTATTAACGATGTATAACGCTTTTAACATAATGTGATTTTAGAATGAAGTTCATTAAACAAACTCTTGAAAATGAAGTAATATTGTTAGTATAGATTCTTTTAGTATAGATATTTTTTAAAGAGAGCATTGTTAGAGATAATAAAATGTTTAATTTATTACGGATCGTAAGCAAGAACCAAACATGTTTTCTGCTTTATTAGAGTATAAATTAGAAATTCATTTAGTTTACTCATTAAGATTAATGAGCAAATTAAATAACTGAATACTGTTTTATAAACTCGTTGATAGTCTGGAGATGTACTTCAAGTCAGATGTTATTTAAACAGGTGATTTATAAATATTTACGAAAGGAAAAGTACTATTTTAGTGTATTATATTCTACAAATACAAGATGCTTTTTTTATTTACTATATATTTATAAATACTGTAAAATATTTTTAAAGCATTTATAATATTACTGGTTCAGAGTCTAGCAACAGTAGACTCAAACCTTTATCAGCTTTTCACAGTTTTGTATATATTTATTATAGAGTATTTTATATATGCTACAAAGCAAATCAACTCTGGAAAAGTCTTTGCTTGTGAAAAGCAATTTAAGCCAGATGATAAAAAAAGTTATAAACAATCACTACAGATAATATATAGAATGTAATAATTATTAAAACATATCATAATGACTTCGTTACGTTATATCACAAACTCTTATGTTACTTTGTATTACTATAGTGTAGTAGCGCATGTAATATTACTATATAATCCCAATGTTAGAAAATAGATAATCAAGAGGTGATCTTGTACAACTATATTGGTTTATAAGTAGTTTAGATTAGAAAATTAGGCGCTATTCAGATAACCCTGATGCTAAACAGTTTTGCTATAATGTTGATGCAATATGCATTTAATAAAGTGTTTTGCTTAATACTGAAAATACTAGAGATTCATATGACAATAAACAAGCTTGGATAAACATCTCTAAAGATTTAATATTTAAAAAAAAAATTGAAAACATGATTTTATAACTAATCTATATATTCAAAACTTTTAAAAATCAACATTATATATAAAATGTATAACTTGGATCTTTGAAACAAAAAATATGCATATATATATATATATATATATATATATATATATATATATATATATATATACATATATATATATCAGGCTTGGTCGGGAAGCGGAAGCTATCGCTCTCGATTGCTGACCATGTAAATAATATTTAGTAGCAAAAAGCTAGCCATATTTTTTAGAACATTTTTAAAAGAAAAAAAAAAAAAGCGATCAAGATTAAATGGACCAAAGAGACAATTACAAAAAAAAAAAAAAAAAAAATTAAAGCTAAATAAATTACATTTAGAACAAATATTTTCGAGGCGTCGCTTTTTTATAATTTTTTTATAAAATTAAGCGATGTTTTTTATATAAAGTACCAACTTACGATTATTTAAAAAGGAAACAAATATTCTTTATTAACAAAGTTTGCAAGTTTTAGTTTTATTTAAGCTAAATTTTTTTATAAATAAAAAAATTTATTTTTTTAATACCTATTTTATGTTTCGCGTAGTTTGAAAAATTTTACATATTTGAAGCAATTCTTCTAAGATAAACAAATGAAATAGTTAAATCATTGAATTACTATAGAAATTAAATTAACAAAATAGAAATCAACTAAAAAGGTTAAAAATACTTAATGACAAGAAAGCGAAACTGCTTCACAATGTCGCTGATGATGTTTA